GTATTACTTATATTATTTTATTATTTTTCATTCTTATTTATTTATCATTTATAGATAAGATTTTTTTATTCTATTAAAATATCACTTATTTTAAAAGTTTTTCAGTTTAGATTTAAGTTATTATTGTTTCTCAAAATATCTTAATTAGATCAAATCAAATTGTACTAATAAATGATAAAATAATTTTTTGTTTTTTTGCTTTTTTTTTTTACTTTTTCTTAAAGTATTTGCTATAATATATTATAAAAAAAAGGTTATCAAGAGTTTATTTTATAAATACTCATAATTTATTTAAATAAATATATATATCTATAATTTTCTCAAAAGCTTTTAAACTTTTTCTTTCAAAAACTAAAACTTCTTTAAATTAAAATATTTTTGAAATGATTATATTATTAAATTGTTTAATTATAAGTAAAACTTCTTTTAATAATATTTTTTCTATTAATATTAGTAAAGAAATACTGTAATAATAAAAAAATTAGTATAAAAAATTAAAAGTTACATATTTCAAAAAAGGTATCTTAAAAAAAGAAAATATAAACTTAATAATATATTAAATATTTGGAAGATTGATATCAATTAAGAAGAAGAAAATAATATTAAAAATATTACAACTAAAAAGATATTAACAAAAAACTGTGATAAAATATTAAATCTATTAAATTTTTTAGCTGATTATTTAAAAATGTTAATATTATTATAATGATAAATATTTTTAATATTTTACTAACAAAAAATTTGCAAAATATTTATTGTTATATTTGTCAATTATTTGATATCAAATTTTTTTTAGTTTATCACTATTAATTTTCAAAAAACCCCTTTTAATAGAAAAAATTATTAAAGTTACAGATAAAAGAATAAAAGATAATCTTATTATAATCTTATATAATTATATTGAAAGATCATAAATAAAAACAATTTATTAAAATGGGATACAAATAATTTAGATGCTTTTATGAGAGAAAATTCTTATTCAAATAATTATCAAGAAATCAGTATCTCAAAATAGTTTTGGTATTAGAAAAATATGACATAGATTTAAGATGATTAATATAATTATAGGTTTTAATAAATTCATTTAATAATTTTAAAATTATTCATATTATTATATTTACTCAGATATTTTCAGAAATTTTTCTTATTTATTTTAGTAAATATCCTTTAAATAACATATTTACAAATTATTATTCTTGCAATTCATTACATGTAAATCTTATAATTTATTATTTGATATTAACAATTGCAACTTATTTTTTTTAAAAAAATTACAAACTACAATCTTTTAAAGATTTAACAAAAGGTTTTACTTAAGACTTAATAATTGTTTTGAAAATAATTTAATAATCTTATTTTATATAAAAAAACTTAATATTTTGTAATTGAATAAATATTAACATAATAAATATTTAATAGTTAATATTTTGTTTTTATCTCTTAACTTGTAAAAGATAAACAAATCAAAAATATGAAGATTTTAATTATACCTATTTGCATAGGCACAGCCTTAATAAAATTCTAGAAATTAAATAATTTAGATAGTCTGATAACAATATTTATGATATAAATTTGTCATCTATAGATATGAAAAAATCTCTTAAATATGGATTCTATAATAGAACATAAAATAAATATTCTAATGAACTTAGTAATCCAATCTTATGTAATAGTTCTTATATTATACATTTATTAATACTATTAAGAAATTGCAATTATAATGGTATTATATGCTTCTAAGTTTTGAATAGATATAATTCTTTTGATTCAGCAGAACAAGTCAAAAAAATTTGAAATATTCTTGTTGAATGGACTAAAAAGAAGTATCAATTGATGATTGATTTGATTCTATTGAAGAGAATAAAGATCCTAATGATATTTAAAATGAAAAATAAGGCGATATTAAAACTATTGTTTTGGATACATATATCACCAAAGACACTGTGCTAGATAACAGTAATATAAGGGATCATAAAGCCAGGAGTCTTATTTTTTTAGGAAAAATAAATGATTATTCACTTGTATTAATTGTATCTCTTATTTTATACTTAAAGTAGATTTTTTTGATGATATCATCACAGATCTTTTTAGGTGATTAAAATGAAGAAAACTTCCCTAAATTCATTTTTACATATGCATCTGATTACATACAAATTGGCAATTAAAGAAATTAACTTTGGGCATATCTTGGCATCAGATGAAACATTGTCCAAGACAATTAACATCCAACCTAATGTAATGTATAAATTAGCGCCTATCTTAAAAAAGAGAAAAAATGATCACAACCATCCATTTGCTTGGAATAATTTAATTGACCATAAAGAAGTATGTGTTATCACAGATGCTAAAAGTGACAAGGTAGAAAATGTAGATATAACAACAGGCAGCTTCATTGTATTAGTTCGTAGGCGTAGTAAAACACACGACTTTAACACCATATAATATAAATTCAGTTCAGTTATTGAATCAGATTTTTCTGTCCATGAAATATCTGTAGGAGAGTTTACATTGAAAGACTTTAAGAAGAACTAATGAAGGCTAAGGGTTGTGAATGCTTTGTTGTGCTTACTATAAAGTGGTTTTAGATGAAGTCACCCCCAAAATCTGGAGATCGGCTTCTGGATTTTAGAAGATTTATTGCTAGAGGAGATGAAGAAGAAGAGTCGGAAATGGAAGTATCGGAAATAAAGGAGGAAGAAGAAACAGAAATGATAGTTGACCAAGTATCGCAGTTATATAGTTTTAAAAGTTCGCAAAAATCTTTTATTTTAGTTGAAATTATTATCCATAAAACCTATTGCCAATTTTTTCAATATCTATGAGCCTATTTAATATGCTTCTATAATATTCGAAGTAAATAACATATTTATGCTATTATTTTCCGCCCAAATATTCTGAGATGGGAATAATTAGCGGAATCTGATTCTTGCTTCTTTGCTTTGATAGAATTCGGCATATGATACTGCCGAACGCAGTGTCAATTAAAAATAATTAGAACTGCGCCCACAAAACACGTGTCGACGATAGACGAAAATCAAATAAGTTTAAAAGATCAAGTATTGTAATAAGTCCGCTTTGACTTTGAACATCGATTAAGCCGGAAAGCTTAATTGGCATCAGGATGATGTTCTTCTAGAATCAAATCGAAGTGTTCGTTCGTTTGATTAAAGATAATGACGACGTAAATAATGGTGAAGTTTGATCAGATTTAATGGATTTACTTTACTAAACAGTCTACACTGTGGATTGTAATTTTGCCTGATGTCATGTGGTAAACGTGTAGGCTTAGTTTAGCGTTGATGTTAATATCGCATTACGCTAAAATAAACATACTTCGGTATTTTTTTTTTGCACAATCAAAAACCACGTGATTAACGATATAGCGTAACAAGGTTTTATTACAATCCGGTAGTTTTTCCATATATGGAATTTACAAATATGGAAATGTTCGTCAATATTCGACGTTATTTATATTCCGTTTATGTTTCACCCCGTACACAAAATTCAAGTTTATAAATTTAAAATTAAGACAATATTTAATTTAAATATTAATATTTTCTTTTTTTTTAAAATTAGAATATTTTTGTAATAAATATTTGTCTATTTGTTATAATAAATTAATTGTTTATTTTTATTTAAATTCATTATTAGAATAATAATTAATTAATTAATCAATCAATCGCGATTAAATATGAAAAATTTATTTCCAAGTTCAAATAGTTAATTAATAATCCACGAATCAATTATCCAATTTGATATTCATTTCGATTGCTACTTTTAGAAAGGCAATAAAGCGTTCTACCAGAATTTTATTGAATTATGCATTTTGGATTTATAAAAATATTTTTGGAAATTTTATTATGGTAGTACAATTTTTACGTTTGACCCCCTAAAAAGTGGGCTTTTTTTTGCAGTACGCCCCAAATATATCTAATTGTTCGAATAATTAATCTTATTACAGATAACATTATAATTATACTGGATTTGCGCCTGATTCCATTAAGATACATTTTATTATTTAAAAAAGGATAATGTGAATGCATCTTTTTTGAAAGCTATATATGCCATATAAATGGTCAAAGCGCAAATAATCGATGAAAGGACGCTTTATCTTCCCGGAAATGTTACCGTTGATTCCAATACATGTGTTCGTTTCAATTAACAAAGGTTTTTTTTTGTCATAACACTAAATAAACAAACGAACCACTTACAAACTTTGTCGATTAACTTTTCCTTAATGAGGTTAACACAAAATTTTTACAACCAAAATTTTCGAATTTTACACCGTGGTAATACAAAAGCAGATATAGACTGCAATGGGTATTATAATTGTGGAAAATAGTAACCATATTGATGGAATCGCCGAAAAATTAGTGGTCATTTTATTGTCAATCAAAAATCTTGTTTGTATTGTAAACCCTAACTTGGTAACTTCGTTTCCACCTTTTCTGTTTTTTCTTGTTTTCTTTTATTCTTCTCGGTCTACCACATTCCTTCCTGGTGAGTTTTTTTTATCCTTTAAATAAGAAAAGCTACTTCGATTAGATGGTCAAAAAGAAGTAATCTTTTTTTTTTAATAATAAAATAAAATAAAAGTTGAACTTTTTTTGTCGAAACGAAAATTCTACCATAATCTCATTAAAAGTATTGAATAACTTCCCAAAGAAAAAAGAAAAAGGTATTTATCGGTTCTATTTACACACTTTACTATCTTTTTTATTATAAACTTGTTTGAACCTTTCTTAGTTGTGAAGTACGAAGGTTACACAGGACCTTTCGTTAGATCTTTACAAGAGGACTTGCCATCTTGCATTTTTACGATCAATAGATTACATTCTTTTGAAATTTTTGTTATATATACGTAATCTTCTCACCCACTAACGATCAATACTTTTTTTTTTAAAACGATTTTGTAGACATTTAAATCAAAATTATCATTTACACTTCGAATCCTATACCTGTAATTTAATCCTTATATACCGTTTATATAAAATAACATAATGCAAAGACATAAACAGAATGGAATGGCAGAATTGAAGTACCGCCGGCTGGTGGAACTTAATCAAAGACTTCGTGAAGATTTAGACCGTCCCCGAGTACGAGTCAGTGAAGCTAGTACAAGGTATGATTCTTAAAATATTTCATTTCAATCTCGCTTTATTCATATTTGAGATGGAATTATGGAAATTAGCTTTGAAGGATTATTAAGCAATTCAATAATTTGAGATTAACTATTTTGCATGGAAATGTCACATTTTATAGTTTAATTCGATATTGCAAGAATACTAGAGACTTCTTAGTACCATCCGTTTGGGGACCAGTTGATAAACGAGACGATCCTTATGCACCATCCGGTGGTGGATGCAACTGTATAATTATGTAAAAAAAAAAAAAAGGTTCCGTTTGGCAGTAATATGTATGACCAAGTTTCTGGGTTTATTATATAATAATATATATTTTTTTTTAATTTTTCTTCATCAATACATTACACACATTATACTTCATTCTCTCTTGTAACTTCTTTACTAGTAATGACATTAGGAATGTGTTATGAAAGGAGAGTGCATCTTTTTACGAAAGGGACGTAACTCCCTTTTTTTTTAAAAAAAACAAAAAAAAAAATAACAAAAAAAAAATACTTTTTTTTTTTTGGAAGTTGTGTTCCTTCCGGAAAGGTAATGCGCCTCCCATTTAATACTACTTGTATAAAATATAAAGGAAAAACTATTACATTATAATATATCTCTCATTGAAACGTTATGTTTATTATTAATAGACTTTTTTTTTGTCAAATTCCTTTTAATTTGAAAATTCCCAAAATTATAGAGTTGAAGTTTAGAAAATTGCGATCAAAAGCAGACCAATATCTTGTTAAATCTTTTTTGTATTATCAAATGCTCACTCGTTATAGTGAGCTTGCATTGATAAATATCAGTTATCCCCAGTTTGCGGACGATATCTATGATATTAATTGATGTAAATCACTATAACATAGTTATCCTTTATTTATATATATTTTTATTTATTTATTTTTGATTTATATTTGGTTAATTTTCTTTTTCTACGGGTTTATGTTGTATATGCTTTTTTCCCCTTTAATACTTTCCCCTTTTTCATATTTCATTAAAATCTTTAAGTAATTTATTTCTTTATTTCTTTTTTCCTTTCTCCTATAAATAACGCTAATTAATTTCATGCATCATCCACAAATTACGCATAAAATGTGATCTATTAAATAAATAACAGGAATAGCAACACTGCTATCATTATTTATTATTTTTTTTTGTACTATAAAAAAAAAAATTTATTAATTATCAAATAAATTGTTAAATTTTTTCGATTGAAAATTTTGATAAAAATCGATATTTTTTTAATTGAATGGTTTCACAATTTTTAAAGTAAAATCATAAATGATATTTTTATAGAGCATCCTTTAAGTTTCGATTATGTAATAATTGCTAGTCATTTTAAAGTTCGGCAAAAATCAGATAATATTTATAATTATAATAGTTTAAAACCAATGACATTATTTTGATTGTTCTATTCAAATAATAATCTTATATAATATTTTATAAAATGATAAAATCACATACAATGCAATAAATTATGTATACAAACTAACATATAAACATTTTTATTGTATTAATTCAGAAATTACTGGGATGAATAGAGAAATTATTTAAATTCATTTACCCAAAGTTCTTCGATCCATCGTTTACAGATATAGTTTAGCGTTCACGTCCTGAAAAGTGAATTTATAATGGTTAAAAAGTGCTACATATAACAGCAATAAAGTTTTGCAGGTAGCATACGAAATGAGTAGCTACGTTTATCCGACAGAGACTAAGGAGACCATAACATAATCTTTCAGCCAATGCCGATTAAGCCTAACCGTTGATCAAACTGAATTGCTCATCTCCACGCCGACTTTGGACGAGAACTAATTCCCCATACCACACTCCGAATCTACCATTTATATATACCTGAATTTTCGATTTTCAATTTCAATTTCTTAGATAATGCAATTAGCTTAGCTAGCTTACTGTATGAATATAACATACAAGAAAAAGTATACTCGCAGATTGAAATAAGTTTACGAATTTGCACTTGTTTTTCTTCTATTGTGATTGCTCTATTAGATATTCGTCTTCATCCAATGCCAACCTTAGAATTTTCCGCTTATCACCTTTGGAAGGTTTGAAAGCAAATTTTCTAATAAAATCATTTGCATTGGTAGCTTCATAATATTACTAAAAGCAAAAATTCATCTATCTCTATTATCTCCATGAAGAAGTGTGCAATTGTTTTCGGGCTTTCTGACAGTTCGGGCCTAACTGACAGATATGGACAATATGTCATTTAGGCCTTTCTAACGTCGGTTTTAATGAATTTGTTTGTCTACCCGTCCTTTAATTAATATTTTTAATGGAATTCCGTTGGGAAGGAAAAATGGTATAAAAAGGTTGTAATTCGTTTCTTTCAAAATTTCCGAATGATCGACCCCTACGAAAATAGGAGGTAACATTATGAACGAGTATATTAACTGATAATATACTTCGTGAGGATTTTGCTGTCTAAAAATCAAACGATCATTCATATTTTACGTTAGTTTGGCTTGGAAATTATTTAGGCTTAGCATAGAATGAATTATAATATCCACATATAAACAATTGATAACTGCGCCATAAAGATTTCGGTTCAAAGCATCATTGGTTACTAAATATTTATGCTTGAAAAAAAATGAATTTGATGTGGCTGAAACAGAGCCACTACTAAATAACCAAGAAAAAAAGGGATATTTGTGGTTTGGTTTTTTTCTTATTAAGATTGGAAGATTGATTACTCGCATGGCCACGATTTTAATAGCCCAATATTAATAGGAAATTGTAAAACACTTTTTCTTTTTTTCATTTAATTTTTTTTTTTCGTTAAATATATATATATATATATATTTTTTGATTTTTTAAAAAAAAGTTTTTACATCATCTATCATGAAACAAAAAAAAATATGATCTCCAAAAAACGAGGAATTTGTTATTTTCAGCACTATTCCATATTATTATGTCTACTATTCACGCTAAATTTGTCAGTCGAAGAAGTTGAAGCTTTGAACCCCACGGATTTTATTCTTTACCTAAACTCCAAGAAAGCTGCGTTATTTCTTAATGATAATCACATTAATGCCTTTGTAACGCCGGTTCAGATTTTTTTTATTCGACTAAACAAGATCCTCCCTTCTATACAGCTCATCCCTCAACTAAATAATAGGTTCTATCATAAAATAGAATAACATTCAACAGACGTCTTTAATTAAACCCCACCTAAAAAACACATTCACGTTATTGTAGAACAATCTGTTGCAACCAGTAAGTGAGTCGTAGTAAATTAGTCAACGCTTTAGTTTATTTTCGTCGATGCTTTTTGTGTCATAACAGAATTCTCAGGGGTAAATACTGGACTTGTGCACATATTCGTTGATAACTCCAATCTTTACGCTGAGGGAAAATATATCGTTGGAGCTCGAGAGAAAAATTTATGAAACTAGACATGCACAATTTGTCACCCCGTGTCACGCCTCCCCGTTTTCATTTTTACTATGTATTCTGGTTGGATAAAAAAATTTTGTTTCACCCCCCATTAAATGTCACCGGTCACGTGGGGTGGAAATTTACTTATAATATTTGGTGACACCGACAAAATTTTCGCGATCACGTGATAATAGGCCTGCATTATATTTACCCCAGTAACACCAACACACCTATAACAAATGACTATCGATTTTTGTAACTTGAGCTGAATTTTTGACGAATTATATGATTGAATCGGTTGAATATCAACCGAAAGGTATTAGTGCTAAAAGAAATGATTTCAACTAGTGTATATAAAGATAAAAAATTATTTGAATAGGAATTTATATCTGAATTTGAACTATAGATGAATTGTAAGCCATATATTTCTCTTTCTTTGACTTTTAATTTGAATTTAGAAAATTTAGATTTTTCAGTAATTAATAATTAAACAATTGAAGACTTTTTAAAATTAGATGTTATTAATTTATATAATTTGTATATTTTATAACACATCATGAAAATCTACTGTTTATCTTTTATAATAAGCAGTATAAATAATAATTTGATATTTTGAAATCATATATATTATTTATCTTTTTTATAACAAATTTAAAATTTGATATTTTTATTTATACTATCACTAAGAATAATTCTCTAATCACATGTGTTTCATTAAATTATCAAGTAGGTTTCTTATTATTAGACTTTATAACTTTAAGGAATCTTGCATCCTGTAGCCCTATAAATAATCTGTATAAGGAAAGTATAAGGAAATAATATGTTTAAAAAACGTATAATAAACGTAGAAAAACAGTATAATAAATTCGTAAATATTTCCGTATACTAGATACTGAAAA